CTCCAGCCTCTGATCATTTTTCTGCCCCTTTTCTTGACCTGCTCTTACAGGTCCATGTCTTTCTTGTGCTGAGCTGGATGCAGCACTCCAGGTGAGGTCTCGTATAGGGCAGTTAATACAGCTGATGCCCATACCTAATTCTGATTATTTTTGCGGGTTTTTGGTTGGTGCTAAAAGTAAAGTGATCCAGTAGTTGGGCATTTATTTAAAGAAATTCATGATGCATATGTCTGTACAGCAAGCATCTGTCCTCTGGATGAGAGTATGTAGGTTTGATCCTGGTTTTAATTTTGTGTGTGAAATTGCAGAATTCAGCAGGGATCCAATGCCCAACATCTTCAAGTGTAAACTTTTTTCTCCCCACTTTTTTTTTTTATTTATTCAAAACCAGCACTACCCTGCACAGCTTTCTTTCTCATTTTCCAACAGACTGTCTTGCAAATGACAGCAGACAAGGACCACTGTGGTTCTCATGGGAGAGGATGTTGGGAATTGTGCCTGCCTGCTTTGAGGTGGTGATCATGGGCAGTTCCCATCATTGGATGACACGCAGGAATTAATTGCTGTCCTTGGGGCTTGGTAGTACCATAGCTAGAATCTATCTGATGGACTGGTTCCACACCTTGGAACAGACTTATGAAGAAGATGGATGGGCAGAAGGTGCCTGATAAATAATTGCTCAGGCCAATAGCTACCTTGGCTATTAAGAGAGTTGAGGTTTGATTCCTCAAAGCTGTGTTCGTCTCTGCTTGATTCAAAAGTGGAGTTCTTTATTATTATTTATTGCTGGTAGCAATGGCTGTGAAAAAAACCCAGCAGTGATTGCACTAGGGGAGAAGACTAGAAGGAAAAAATACTTGTAGGAAGAGAGAAAATTATGGAAAATTAATGAACTTGAATGAACCGGAATGAGTGGTGCTGGTTTTTATTACATGGTCTTCCCCGTTGTGTCAGGACTGAGTAAATTATGCCAAGCAGAAGCTTGCATAATCTTGCAATAAATTGCCTGGACTCATCGATACTCACCGCTTTGTGTGGAAGGGAGGCCATTTCACAGGCTGTGGCTACTGCACTCAGAGTACCTTGTAATTTAGGGCACTCTTCCTGAAAACAGAGCTCATCTTTCAGGGATCTCCTGAGTCACTTGTAAAAACTCAGAAACTGGTCAACTATAAAGCTTTTGATGGTGGCAGTAGAAGGCTCACTGATTGCATTTCACCTCTTTCTGTGTGAAACTGCAAAACACTCAGGAAAGATGCTTTTGTTATCCTGTGGCTTGCTTTCCCTTCACAGTTCATTTCAGGTTTTTCTTTCAAGAAAAGTGTCCTTTCAAATCCCTCCGTGCTCCTTCCCCCAGGCCATAGCCCTTAAAGCAACCGAGATGCAATAGCAGAGCAACAGTGCTGGTTTGTTCATTTACATCTCATTTATGAAAAACACGTGGTTTCTGTTGAACCATACCTTTTGTGCTGACACAGCTGCTCTGACCGTACTCTCCCTGCAAGCCAACACCATCGTTACTCACTGAGCACTTACAGCCCCGTAAGGCAACCTGAAGATATGCTGTGAAACCCAAATCATCACAGCTGTATCGATCAGAGCTGTTTCTAATGACAGACGTGTCTGTTTTGTCTGAAACAAAAAATGTTTTCCTGTGTATATAGTAAGAAATTATCTTTTCTGTGCACAAGTTACTCAACAGATGGGGTTTTGGCTGTTGCTTTCTGAGGCACCTATCATGTTTTTACAGGTAGAAAGCCAACAGAACAGGAAACTAACATGTAGAGGAGGCAAAGAAATCTTAAAGTTTTCAGTTAGGCTTTTTTTTTTATTTCAATCAATAGTTTAACAAGTGCTTAAACTTCCCCAGCAGTTTAATCTGGAACACAGTTGAGAAGAAAAATATCTTCTATAGCTTTACAAAAATAAAAAGATTTTTTTTCTTTTAAAATCCTACACTTTAGGCAAGCACACTCCAACTCAAGCAAGATAGACATTATATCTTAAAATAGAGACTTCTGTTAATAGAAATGACATTTTACCCCAGGGCAGCAGGCACAATATGTAAATGGTATAGAAACAGAGTAAGAACACTTGTTTTGGCTTTTCTGATCCCTTTTGTCCTATTTCTTAAACAGAACCTGTTAAACCAATTGGCCTAAGAGTTTCTTCAGGTTACCATTTCTTCTGTCAGGTAGCTTCTTGAGTAGGATATTACTGAGGGAAAAGTTTTCACCTGTCTTGGTAACACTGGCAATTACTGAAGATACCAACATTAATGGTTTCATTTTTTTAAAGCTTGTGCATTTCAGCAAGGGACAAATCACTCAGTTTGTAGGTCTTCCACTGCTAAACCACTTCCAGCTTAACTTCTTTAGCAGCCATGGCTGCCAGCATATGAGGTCAGGTTGGAGAAATAAAATGAGTGTAATATATTGTGTCACAAATGTATGTGGTACTGTGGAGCAGTTAATTTAGTGTGTGATGAAACCAAAAGATTGGATAAGCTTTAGCTCCTCATTCTGTGCCTGTAAACAAGGAGAAGCCTCACAGAGAGTATGGATTGGCACATAAACTATGCACTCTGTAGACTTACAGCTTTGTCCAACTTGACTCGTATTGGCTAACAGAAAAATAAAAAATATATAAGCACATGGAGGGAAGCTGGTGCTGCATAGGCTAAGAACCCAGATGATAAAATTATGTTTCTGGACAACACTACAAATGAACTACAGGAGTCCCCAGTTAGATTTCTTGTACTGCATTATGAAGACCTTTTTAAATACTTCCTTTTTAAGTGTCTTTAAATGGCAGGGGAAAAAGATCATTTATTATACAATTTGTACATTGAGCCACATTTGCATGTAGTCTAACCATAAACCTTGGAAAACCCAGGCAAGTCTGTGATTCAAAACAGCTGAGACATGAATGTGCTTTTGGAGGTAAGAACTAGACAGAGCTTTCTCTTGAAACTTATGTAATATTTCTGACATTAGGCAATTTACAGAGGAGCCACATAGTGCTAACCTGTAGATGATTTCCCTGATGAATACAGAAGATCATGCTGTGGAGCAGTTCCTTTGCTCTCTGCTTCAGTCCTGCATCACAAGCACATGCTGATTTCAGCTGGGATTGAGTTGTGTGTGGCACTTGCATGGGGAATGGACGTGGTCTGACAACTCCTAGCCATTGATATTTTTTCAGAGATAGCACTGCCTGACCTGGGAATGGTCAACATTGGTAGAAGCAGCTTTCCTTTGTGATCTAAGGAACATCACGCCATACCCATCCTCTTTAATAAAAACTAACATGAATTCACTCATGCTGCTAGGTCTCAAACAGAAGTCAGAAATTACACTAATGGTCAAGGGACTTGTTTGACTGTAATAGCTCAGTAACCCATTTGGATGCTGACTACAAAACTCAAGTCTCTAGCTAGAGAAAACCAAACTCCATCCTGGTTCCTAGTTTCCCTTTCAGAGACATTGTTTCTCCTTCTTGACCCCTGAGTTAAAACTGTCCTCCTGATGCCCCCTTTACCAGCAACTGATCCAGAGCTGGCTCTTCAAGTAGGTTTGACTATGTGGAGCAGAAAACCATCAAGAAAAGCTGTTCATAGGGCTCAATTCACCATGGTGAGTTGGCTTTCAGCTCCTTCCAGCAGGCTGAAGGAGGATCTGAAGGTGGAGCTGAAGGTGGATGGATGAACACTTTCTCTGGAGACCACTGAACCAACCTGAGCTCCATTCCTGACTCTTAAAGAGTTTTCTGTGACTTTTCATTTGCCTGAGGAAAAAATATGGAAGATGTGATCTGACCTGGCAGCAAGTCTATGATACTGTTCCTTCTCCCCATCCTCCTGCTGTCTCAAAAGCAGGTGAACTGATTTTGTTCCAGATCGGAGGAAACTCACATCCATGTTTTCAAGGAATTCTTTTGCTATAGCAGACAGTGTGAAGACTCACTATATAAAGCTGAAGGACCTTCATTCAAAACATACTTTTCCTGTGATACTGAAAATAACTCATTAAAGGCTCTTTTTCTGACTCAGTACTGAATGGGGCAGCTGGAAGCTGCTGATACTGTAAAGAAACGCTATGACCTTACTCCTTATGTTTCTTACACAGGTTCCTGCTCCTCCTGCAAACCAAAATGTGTACATTAGTAAAAGCCACAGCCGAAATGCTGCAAGGTTCACTCCCCATTAAAGCAGGGAAGCATGGTTCATCTATGAACTTGTAACTCCTTGCTGGCCTTAAATGTCTCCCCTACAGCCTCCAGAGTCTGCTCCGATTCACGTCAGTGCACAAAAGGATATATTTGCCACTGAGGGAAACTTCTGAGTTTCTTTAGCAGGCTCTTGCTGAAGAATGCTCTCTGAGGCCTGTGCCTATCCTATTTCCCAGCAATGTCTCCCCAGACCTCCCCAAACAATACTGATTTAAGCTCTATGAAATTGTGGTATGTATTGGGACAGTTCAGCAAGGAGAAAAGGGAGGACCTGACTGCATTTGGGCATCTCTTGCCCCTCCCTATGGTAAGACTGGGCCAGTGTCCCTCCCTCTGCAGGTCAGCTTCCAGCTGCTTTCTTGCTCTCCTAAGGGCCACGGAGTGCTTGCTGCTGCAACTCTTTTCCTTGTTCCTACATGAGGTCACATCACTAAAAATACACCGCTAAGTAGGTTTGCAGAACATATTAATCCCACCTGCTTCTTTGCTTTGTCCACCTGGCTGACACAAATACTGCACACAGAGTATGCAGAGTAAGGCCTCAGGAATATGAAAACAGAAGTTGTCCCTGCAGCCTTGTACTGGCAGCTTACCTGCACTGTGTGCAACCAATAGAAAAAATGCTGCTGCTGGCTGGCTTTGATGGGCTTGGTTGTAACTGCTTGCTAGTTACAAAGGGAGGCCTCAAAGCAATTACATAGCTAACGAAATTGAATGAGAAAATATTAAACCACTGATTACTTTTACAACTTAATGATTGTAAAAATAGCTTAAATTACTTGGAATATTCTTTTTTCTTTCTTTTAATTAAAGGTGTTAACCATTTAGCACTTTTGGAACAGAGGGCTGTTGATCTGCTGATGCTTTTTGTATTATGAGCTGTGAGATAATGGCAAGATAAATCTTTGTGGGTTTCCTCCTTATATACATATCTACATCAGAGCTGTGAAGTCAGAGGGGGAAGCTGCTATCACAGTACTGGCACAACACCGAACCCTTCCCCAGAGCTACATTCTGATGAGAACCCAGGCGTTGGGGAGAAGAGCACCACAATGGCAGGATGGCAGAGACAACTGAAGCAGGATCATAAATGTTCATCCCAGCAGTTAAAAGAAAAATAAAATAAAAGGAGACCCCCTCCCTCCCCCCAGAAGTCTGCAGTCCTAAAGTGCAATTACTTTTGTGCAGTCATGTCAGGCCAGGGATCAGACTGGATGAAGTTCAAAGCACAAACATCAAACGAGTGCCGTTCGGGATTCGAGGAGGAAGGGGGAAGTAAGGAAAAGAACAACAGTTCTCAGGCATTCAAGTGCATCAAGAAAATAAATGTCCCTTTCTTTTGGAAGAAAAACAACCCCCAGTCTGGTGGAATCCTGGCTTTGTAGTCACGAAAAATAAGTTGTTTTCACTTCTAGCTGAGAATGTCCCAATATGACACAGTACAAATAAACAACAAAGCAAGAGCTGGGGCACTGGGATATTTTTCCGGTGCCCTGCTGCTATACAGCCTTATTTTATTCTCCTCTGGTGACTCTTCGGACCTGGGTACTGATGAGGCGCACTGAATTAGAGGCGTCTGGTAGGAAGTGGCTCTCTTCTCCGGTCGGTCGGGGCTGGACCCGTCGCTCGGCCTCTGCCCGTTGTACAGCAAGTACCTGCCTCGGGCATCCTGCTCCATTTTGAAGATTTCGTACTCGGTGTGAGGTAGGCGGATGCCAAGGGCAATGCAGCCGTTCGTGTGGGTGACATCTTGCTGTACCCCAACTTGCCAGGATCCCTGTGCTCCGCACTCGTTCCCGTTGAAGACATTGAGCAGCGAGGCTGTGGATATATCCATCGGAGTGACCTTCATGTGATTCACTGTGGGAGAGGAAGAGGGGAGCTATTAGCAGAGGGACAAAAACAAAAGCAAAGCCAACATGCAGATTGGGGCCTGTTAAATCAAAATTGTCTCCCCTTGTTCATTCTTAAATGAATTTTTCCTGTTATAGGTGTGGCCAGCAAATCTATTTGCATCACTTCATGTCTATGACTTTGTGCAAAAATTGCTTTTTGCATAGAACAACCCCCCTCCTCCAACTCAGTTGAAAAAAACCTGACAGCCACATATCTCAGCCAGAAATTAAGCAGAGCTTTTCATAGGTTCCAGACAATCCTTTACAGATAAAACCTGGTTGGTTATATTAGGTGATAGGGAGAAGAGGAAACAATAAAACTTTACTGATGTTTTATTACCATCTGTATTAATCCATAAGTGGGGCTGTTTATCATGTATTTTTCATCATTTTTTAACATCTGTTACCCTGTAAAGCTAATTAAATAATTAGTTTCAATTAGGGAACTAGGAAAATATCACAGCTGCACTATCATCATATATTATATTTTCTTTTTTGCATGAATTATAAAATATTGCTGACCTACAGAGAGATGCTTTTTCTCATATCCAAACATTGGCTGCAGCTTGCAGTATCAAATGTAGGAGTGCTGCAGCTTCTTCAGTTCTAACCTGTCTGTATTTCAAAGGAGCTTAAGGCACATAAACTTTTATTTTCCAGCCAAGTTAAAAAAGTTGGGAAAAGCCAAACTGAATGAGCCTACAGAAGCTGAATAGAGATTTTTCCTGGTGTGTGTTTGACAGAAGAATATATGAAGAAAGGGGATCTGAATGGATTGGTGCTGACCAAAACAGAAGCAAGTAACTAGCCCTCATGGCTCCCAACACAGCACAATCCCAAATTCTCTTTCAAGTCATTTTATAGCAATATTTGTTGGGAGTTTTATTCTCAGGTTTTATAAACAGACGTTTGACCCAATGGCTCTACAGTTCACATTATTTGCTCTATATGATGTAAAAGGTAATTTGTAAAAATTGAATGTACAGGTTTTATCAAAACCAAATTAGTGACCTTGATCTGTAAGGTAAATTGGCATAGCATAAATTCAAGCAAAAACTGGATTTCACCCCATCAGCTGAGCTAGGACATGCTACATATGCAGCTCTAAAGAACAAAAGTTTGACAGGCAAGGGTATCTCCTGCCTCCTATGAAAATCCCAGATTAGTAAATTATTTCTTATAGTTAGATGCTTTCCTAAATTAGACTCATGCAAGAAGCTTTATGCTTCTCACATGGTAACTGAAATAAGTAGGAGAAGAGCCCACAGAGTGCTTGAGGCTTCCAGAAGCTTTGCTGGGGTTGGTGCCATGGTGGCATGTCGTATTTTGGAGATGTTTGTTTGTGTGAGTGGTTCAGGCCTCTGAGCTCTTTCTATCCAGGGAGCCGTGGGATTGTTTGCACTGGAAGGCTTCTCAGCTGCAGGGACCTGGGTGGCATCACCACTGAGTGCTGCTTTCCAAAGTGCTCGAGGGGTTTTAGTTAGATATGTCTAGTCTTTGTTCTGGTGAGATTAATCAGAGCTGTCTTTAGGGACAGTCTTACTTGCTTGAGGGCCCCTTGGAAGCATATATAAAGATGTGTGCTGCTACATCTATCTTTGACAGAAAATTATTTATACTTCTTCAGATCTGAAATGCCTTCTGAAGGTCCTTTTTTCTCTCTGCTGAAGGAGTCCTAGGACATAGATCTAACCTTAGACACTTTTCTTAGATGCTTGAAGTCTGGCCACTGGACTCCAAGACTTAGTGATGGGAAATCTTATTTTCTTGTGCTGTACTTAAAGACCTCTGCCTCAAACGAGTATTGCTTCAGCGGTGTGAAATGCCTAGCAGCTGTATAGTTTGTCTGGGCATTCACACAATGCTTGAAAACTTCCCAAGAAATTATGAACTTCTAAAAATCACATAATGAAACCATCAGAAAACAAACTCTGCTCTGCCCCCCAGCGTAGCAAGTCACTCTACCTTTAAACACAAACTCTGTGCCACCCATCACTTTGGAGGAGTGGACTCCCCGGCTGTAGCGTCCCTTGGCGTAGATGGTGAAGGTGGGGTGCTTGCAGATGGGGTCAGAGTAGTGGTAGTAGTGACCCTCCCAGGTGTTGTTGTTGTCATGGAAGATGAAGTGCCGAGTAAGGAAGAGAACCTCTGGTCGCACCTCGCAGCGCTGGCTCACCCACTCCCCGTGCAGCCCGATGGTCAGATCCGCCTTGGGGGGCAAGATGGGAGGGTGGTGCTCGTCCGACCGGTAGATGATTCTGCACGCGATGCACGTGCGGTCGTGGTTCTGAAACAAAGCAGAGAGAAACCCTTGTTAGGCATTATCTGTGATACAGGGCAATGAATCAGGCCAGCCACTTCATGCTGAAGTGACACCAGCCCCACATTTTAATGGATTGTCATTTCTTATCTTGTTAGTGGTACCTTTGGTTTTGTACGTGTAAGACTGCACAGCAGGAGAGCACTTAAGAGATTAAGTCCCTTGTCTGCGTTTATCTGAAATTAACATATTAGTTCAGCTTTTTATAGAACCTAGAAAAGGCTGACTTTACCTTTCAAATCTTACGAGAAGCTGGCAGATAGTAATTTAGTGTGGTAGGGACTTTGCAACACTTGTGTTAGAAATTAAGACATTTGCTGAGCTCTTATTTTGCATCTGTCTTCCTTTTAGTTGTTAACTTTGGGTACTGTAGATAAACATGGGTGTCCTACGGACATTTTTCGTTTTGGATGGCAGCCTGGGAGAACAGTAACCAGTGATTTTAAACTTTTTTCAGCTTTTCTGAACCCTAATGCAAGTTTGTGAAGTGTGTGACATGGCCAGTTACCGCTGAACGTGGTGAAAGCTTTATGGCCCTCTCCAGCCAGAACAGGGTCTGTGGTGCCTGCTGAGCTCCATGACGGCTCACTGCTGTGGGCCAAGCAGCAGCCTCAAGTAGTTAAGTACCCCAGCCCTAACCATGAGCACAAGGGTGCCTTACTAGGGGCGTGCAGGCTCCAAGTCCACGGCAGGAAGGGAGGGAATTTCACACTGAGGCTTCTGCCTCCTGCCATCAGAAACAACAGAGACCTGTAGGTTGTTCCTAAGGCTAACTCTTTCTGTTTCTGTAAGGTTTTTGTCTTGTTGGCAAAAGTTTGGCCTCTAAGTTTTCAAACTGTGTTTTGCACTTTTTCAATGGCAAGAGAGAGATAGCACCATTAGCTTTTGTCTCTGCTCTGCTAAGCCTTGAATTAAATTTTATAGACCAATAGACGATTAGGATATTAATTTTTTAGCTCATTTTATTGATGGCAAATAATTAGCTTAAGAAGAACAACCCCTCAAGATAAAAGCAGTGTTGTCACCAAGGGAGGTCGTGGACTCCTCATCCCTGGAGGTGCTCAAGGCTGGTTTGGATGGGGCTTTGATCACCTTGGTCTAGTGGAAGGTGTCCCTATCCATGGCAGGAGGGTTGGAACTAGATGATCTTTAAGTCCTCTTCCAACTCAAACCATTGTATGATTCTGTGATTCTGTTTTCCTGGTGTCTGTGTTGGGTTGGTGATGTGCCATTTGTTTACATCTCAGGACTTGACAAGTAGAGGCTTTCTACGCAGCTGGTGGGTGACGTGTGGAGGGGCAGCGTCCTCTGAGCTGTAAGCGGGCTTACACTCAGAGTGAAAGACCACCCAGATAGCTTGTGCCTTCATCTCTCAAGGGCACTACATGATCCTTCCTGGAGAGAGGGGGATGCACTGGGGGGGTTACTCGCATCTGCCTTGTTCAAGCTGTGAGGTGTTTTCCTGAGGTGCAGTTCAGAGTGCATTGAGTTAAGAGCTAAAGCTCACCATGCAGCAATTGGGAAGAGAGATTTATAGAAATACTTTATCTTTGAGCCCCTTTCCAGCCCTCTTTTTTGAAGTCTCTCTGAAATCCCTACATAATATAAGTGCTAATATTCATTGCTCTTTAGAGTCCATGTGAGCTGCTGTGGAGTCACCATTTCTCCCCTCATTGCCTTCAGCTCATAGCTCACTTTAGGGGTGACATTTACACAATCTTCATTAGTGCCCTGAGTTTCTCCAGTAATATGATATGACCATAGTTAGCTTCAGAGAATCAACATACAACTTCCACAATATATCCCCTTTTACACATATTATATTTGCCCCCACCCCAGACCAGACAGTCTGGTTTTTCACCAGAAAGTTTTTTCACCAAAAGTGAAATCAATGAAAAGTCCAGTGTTCTACATCCCTGGGATGTAGAATAGTGGTCTATGTGCAAAATAACTATAAATGGTGTAGCTGGTTGATCTGAACCAGTGCTGACCAACAGCTCTGCTCTGAAGAGGAAGGATGTTGGACTTGGTAACCTCCAGAGGATTTTTCCACCCCAAAACACACGGTCTTCTGGGAACTATGTGTCAGCATGCAGTTCAAGTGGATGCACTTCCCAATGTGGAGCTTTTTAAATAATGTTAAGATACATTTTTTCAGCTAAATTCCGCAAGCAGGAGCAAGGGCTACTAGTACCTTAGTGAAAAACAAAAACATTTAATTGAGTAATTTAACACAACTGGTGAAGTTAGAACAGACTTATATTCAAAAAGTATTTTTGAATTGTAATAGAAATAATGCTTTTTCTTCTTGGATCAACATCCAAAAGATACCACCACTGCTTTGCATGGACACCCACAGAGATCCAGGCCAAGGGATTGCTCTGTGGAATATGCCAGTGTCTATAAACCGCTTGTTTCTCCAGCGTGGCTGTCCTGCCATGAGGTACACTGGTGTCACTCCTCTCTAACACATTAAGGGCTAATAAACTGCGCTGTAACTTTACAGCTGTGATTGTCCCACTCAAATAAAGTGAAGCCAGAAAGCGAGACAAAGACAGTGTTATAAAATTAAACATAACTTATATAAGCTGAATCGGTCAACAGTAGGACACAATTTCTGCTACAGCCCCTCCTCTATTGAAGTAAATTTGAAAGCTTTTATTATCTCCCAGAGGAGACCCTGGCAGAGCACTATGGTGGTTTGGTTTATATTCACATCTTCTCAGGAGCCTGTCCTCCAAAAACAATCTTTGAGCCAAGGCAATTTAACCTCAAAACGAGTGATGTCTGTTGCCCTTGTTCAAAATCTGAAGAAAACCAAACAGAAACTCAGTCTGTTGTCTTTCTTGTTCAACCCTTGGCTATGGGATTCCTCTGCTGTTTCTCAGGTCTAGTGGATGGACAAGATGAAGATCTGTAATCAATCCTCTTTGCAACTACATAATTTTTTTACTTTTTTTTTGAACCAGAAAGGACTATCAAGAATAACAGTTCTTTTTGCTGTTCTTCTAGCAGCAATTCTAAAGTTTCATCTCTTCTCCACACCATTAAAAAAATATGGGTATTATGAGTCAAGGCTCTGATGCTGGGAAGGAATATTCTCATAGTTTAATGTCTTCTCCGTCATACTGGGAGTGCAGAAGATGCTGACTGGTAACACCTGCAGCTGCTTAGTGCCTTGCCTGTGGCCAGTGGCAGAGTGGGCAGAAGAAGGCCCATGGAGATCCACAGTGGAAAACAATTCATAACCACAAGCAGCCCCTTTCTCCTTATCAGGGGTGGTTTTATGCCTTAGGGCATAAGAAGGGGTTATTTCCCAAAACATAAAACTACACTGTCTGGCATTACACTGTGAGCAGAGGTGACTCCTTTGGCAAACTCTAGGAAGGTTCACGTTAACTTTCTGTTACTTTTCTGTAACTCACCTGGCTCTTTGACCTCTATGGTCCAGAACCAGTGTACCTCTGTGCAGCCCTTCCAACTCTGAAGGCTTTGCACCAGCTCTGATGGTCTGGCCAGTTGGGCTGCTAAGAAATGTCCAGCCTGACGGCCTTCTATTTACTGTTCATGTGCCTGAATGAAGGGACAGAGGTGAACCATCACTTTTTGCATCAAACCAGGTGTGGGACAGGGAGAGGTTGGGGCAGTGTGGAAGGAAGCAGAACTACACCCTTCCCAGCAGTGAGACATCGCCTGGCTCGGGCACCTCATACGCCCGTACCCTGAATGCATCGGTTCGCTGAGACCAGCACTTGAATCTAAGCCCAAAAAAACCTTTTTTTTTTTTGCTGTGATACTATCTTTCACAAAGTTATAAACTTCTTAGGAGAAGAATATGCCATGTGTAAACTCCCTCAGCATTATTTTTGCCTGAGTAATGGACAAGGGAAAGATCTAGTTTTGTTATGAGGCAATTCGACTTAATTTTGGAGTAATTTATGTTTAAAAATTGACTGTATATTTCCCTCTTGCTTCTTCTTTTTGGACAGCTGCTCTTGGATCTTAATTACACTAGCTGTGGCTTTGCAAATCACTCCCTTTCCATGTGTCTCAGGGAAAGATTATTTCCTAAAAACAGACGTTCAAAGAAAATAGGGAACAGAGACAGAGGACACTTGAGTCCAAACACGATTAAGTACTCTCTAATAAAAAGCTCATTTGGGCATGACATAAACTAAAAAGCAATAAAATGAGCAGCGGACAGGATGAACATCTGTTCTATGTTTTGATTATCTTAGGTGTACAATGCAATATTTTTAATAGTGGGGTCTTGCTTGAAGGACTGGCCCCTGAAATGGCTGGAAGATCCCTTCCCATGATGGGTGCCTCCTTGCAGCTCTGCAATGCCAAATTCGTAGTGCCCCAGTTCTTCACCCTCCTGGGTGTTTCTTTAAAGCCAATTTCTGAACCAAGCCATGTGTGCTGAAACAAGCCTGAATCTCCAGCTGGAAACTCAGCGCTTGTAGTTGGGGAGAAATTAGCTTGTCATCTGAAAATTTCCACCAACAATTTTTCTTATCCCTCCCTCCTGCTGTCTCAGCTGAAATGGTAATAGGGCCAAAGAGCTCTGGAAGCCAAGTAGGGAGGTTTCTAATAAAAAAAGGCAAACAAGGATGAGTTTCCCTTGATCTTTTTTCCAATTGCTGTGGATACTCAGAAGCATAAACCCTCCCAGCATAGTTTAATTTTCTCTTAAGTTCTATAGATTTCTATGGCTGCCTAGGATTAATTTGCCTCTAATAAATTCATGGTGTTCTTTATGGCTGAGGCAAAAAGCTATCATACAAATGGGATGCTCTTGGAGCAATGGTGAAATGAGCTTTGAATAACACCTAGAAAGATCTATTTGGAAGGTGTTCCACTTTTCTCTGAATACCTTTGTATTTTGATGTTGTTGTTAAGAGAATAAGACATCTATGGACCAAACCATTTTCCAAACATACAGAAAATGTGCCCTTTCCTTAGGG